GACGTCTGACTATCGACAAGAGTTGGGCGTAGTGTCCTTCTCTTAAACTAATTGTCATATTATTTAATAATCTCTCTCTCCCTCCCTCTAGATCAGTTTTTGTGTCAGTGTTGCTGTTCATACAGTTGATTTTGGTTGGCGGATAGCACTGGGTCTCCAGTGTGTGTTAGCTGTTGTACTTATCATTGGAATGGTATTCTTACCAGAGACACCCAGGTACAATGATAAATAATAATAACAACAACAACAACAACAACAATAATAATAATAACTAGACGAATGTAAAACATCAGCCCCCTGGCCACGCTATCATGAAGAGCTACATGAGAATTAAAGCAAAGCATTATTGTACATGTATACATGTAAATACAGTAGACCTTGTGATTAAGAAATGGAACATTCATGTATAACTTTAATATACATAGATGTACATGCATGTGCAGCAGATAGATTTTACCGGTATGCTTCACAAAATTTACATTTTAAAAATCTGAATTTTTTATAATTGTTTGATTGATTTGTACAACACAGAAGCTGACAAATGCCCATCTATACATGTACATTCCAATTTCCAATGCATCATTCCCTCACTGCAGGTGGCTAGTGAAGAAAGGGAAGAGCAAGAAAGCAGATAAGACCCTCCACAGGTTACGTAAGGACTACACTGAGGAAGAGATAAAGGAAGAACTGAACGACATTGAGTTTACTGTACGGAACTCAAACAATTCTTTAAGGGACGTATTTGCTGACGTATTTAGATGGAGGATACTAAAAAGGTACAGTAGATAAGATTATAATAATTATTCTGACCAACCATGAGGGTTCTCCTTGAAACTGTAAACCCTGAATGAATAAGAGCATAACAAGTATAACTGTAACTGTAGTTATCAAGCCTTTGTATTGTCCGCATACTCAAAATGGGTGAGGTTACCCTTCTTAACCTGCCAACCATGCAATTAACATGAATAATCATAATGTGAACATGATATTCTAGTCAACTAGTATGGTTTATAAAATTTAAAAAGAATGATATTAGTGTCACTCTCAGACCAGTGAGATCACTTTTAGGCAGAACCTTGGATAACATTATGAATTACTTCACACCATAATAAATGTAATTATTATGCGTACAAAAATCAGAAGCATTTCTGTCTATTATTCAGGATTATATCAAAATTATATCAAAATTCTAGTTGTAGCTCAAGAATTGTTTGACAAGCGTATTGTACATGTACTTGTATGTCATTTGTGCTTTTTCTTTTAGTGTTTTCATTTATTAATAGGATACTTTTGGGAGTTATACTGCAAAAGTTTCAGCAGTTGACTGGAATAAATGTCATCATGTAAGTGAGAGTATAATTGTAGAGAGAAAGAGGAAGAGAGACAGAGAGGAATTCATATTAATTATCCTAACAATTCCAATTATTCCACTTCTATTATCCAGGTATTACTCAACCTCAATATTCTGCAGTATAGACGTATCCAGTTATGCTACTACAGCAATAGTGGGTGTGGTAAACTTCTTGACTACTCTCATCACTCTCTTTATCGTTGACAAGGTCAGTTAAATACAGTCTCCACTAGTTTACATGAGTTTTTAGGTTGGTCATAAGTCCCTGTTGCTAGTAGGGGCACTGGGTATGTGTGTATCTATACTGGCAGCTGGTCTCCTTATTCATATCTTTAATGTTGATGAGGAGAGAGAGGGAGGGAGTGAAGAGGAGAGACAGGTTGTTGGATATTTTGTGGCTTTCCTGATTGTACTCTTTGTGGCTTTCTTTGCATCTACCTGGGGGTGAGTTAGGGATAGTGTTCTCATTCCTGTACTTAGTATGGGAATATGGGAATGGGATGTTATAGGTAGATTGTAATGTACATATTATAATGATTGCTTCTTTTAGTGGTGCCAAAGGATTGTTATTATTAGACACCAGGCATTGGCAGTAAACAATAGATACTATAAAAGGAGCTAGCATGTGCAGTATAGGCATAGCATTGAATGTTTGTTGGATTATCTATACCAAGAGTAGATGACAGTTATCATCTACTTTTTGCTATACAAACTTACAATGCTGACATCAGATCCAATTTTTTATCTCTACACATGATGTATTTATCTCTCTCTTCATAGGCCAGTTGTTTGGGTAGTGACTAGTGAAATATTCCCTCTCTCTGTTAGAGGTTAGCTGATACTGATCTGATATTGATATTGATTTGATTTAATGCACATATTCCTTGTCGTCTTCTCTCTCTCTCTCTCTCTCTCTCTCTCTCTCTCTCTCTCTCTCTCTCTCTCTCTCTCTCTCTCTCCCTCCCTCCCTCCCTCCCTCTTTCTCTTCAGGTGTTGCTGTTTCAGTCACTACTTCTGGTAACTGGATTGCAAACTTTTGGGTTGCTATGGTAACCCCATTACTTCTTGGTTCTGTACTAAAGACGGCCGGTACATTCTACATACTGGCAGGGTTTCTCTTTGCCTCATTTTTATTTGTGTTGCTAACACTTCCTGAAACAAAAGGAGAGAGTTTAGAGAGAATTGATGAATTGTTTCTAAAGCTATGGCTACAGAGGATTAACCTATTCTACTATCTGAGGTACATGTACATAGCCTGTAGGTTTAAAAGTTGATCACATCATCACACTTACATACCATGTAAGTGTTTTTAAGGGTTAAAAATTTTTTGGATTTTGTAGATTCCTTCGTGATTGACGAAAATACAATCTGTGAAAATCAGTTTAACTTCTGATTAAGACCTGTGGTTACTGCGTTTATACAGTATCTAGGGCACCACTGTAGGTTGGCCTTTGAGTTCCTGGATTACTTTGTGGTATTAAGGGGTGGTCCTTTCTTTAATTATGATTATTATGGGGTGCATTGGCTTTCTTGTAGTAATGTGTACTATTGCACACTAATTATTGCCTGTACTTAACCTTTATTCTCTGATAGGTGTTGTTGTCCATGGTCTAATGCTTGTAGGGTAAGGACTGCACGAAGAGAACACTGTAGCCATTGTTGGTATAAAGAATGAGAACAAAGATGATACAAGTGATGAGGCTGAAGATGAGTGAGTGTTTAATCATGTACCCTCTCTTTCTCTTCCTCCTCCCTTCTCTCTGTCTCTCCTCTTTCTTTCTTTTCTTCCTCCTCCCTCCCTCTCTCCTCTTTCTCAATCCCAATACTCTAATCATGTACATGTACTGTACTTTCTCTCTTCTCTTTACAGTGAAAATGAGTCACTGATAAAGGATACAGATGTCCTTGAGTCTAGTCTTTCAGCTAAATTTGACAAATAACGGATCAAGCAACCTTTGTATCATTTTGTGTACTAATAGCATCAAGTGTTTGATTTTTATGATGCAGACAGATTTTATTATTTTGCTATTATTTTTAAAAATTTATGCATGCAGCAGGTTGTACAATGTAACACATTAATAGACATTAATAGAACTATAAATGATGTGGGCAAGGCTTATAGATCTAACGGTAATGGCAAGGATAATTTTAGATACATATGTTTGCTCTTGAGTAATAACAGGTGGTATCATACTGAATAAGTCAATACACAAGCATGTCTAGACTATATGGTAAAAACCTATAGTCTTGGCAACGTCACACAAGACATACATAGATCTGTGTGCTCTTGGAGTCCAAGCCTGAAGTGCATGGTGCAGTTCAGACCAATACTGATCTATGCTGTTCAGGCTGAGAAGATTGATACATTGTTGACCAGTAAACAAATGACGAACAAATCATACAATAAACGAGACACCTACGGTGCATGGCCTCGCCCCTATAGCTGCTATGGTGCATGCCCGCACTTCAATAACTGTTTGATTATCAGCATGAAGAGAGTCTGCTCAACACTAGCTTCCTACAGTTGCACTTGCTCTTGAATACCTGCAGAAGTAGCAGCACTGCAGCACATACATGCAAGCAGCTCCAGCCCCTCCCATGCATGTAGATTGAAAGGTGTGGCATTCCATGACTGGAATGAGTGGCAGCAAGAAGACCATGTGAGAAAGAAGCTTCACTTTTCCTTTACTAATCAGCAATATATGATAAACTTGCTGACAAAAAAAGTTGCTGCCTTTGTATATTTGAGATAGTATAGGTACTTTAGTACCTATAACCCAGCAAGTTGTTGCTCTAGCGCTGCACAAACGAGTGACCTCAACAATTTCAAGTAAGTATAACTCTTCATCAAGTAAGATTTAGAGAAATCTGTTCATAATTTTTGAAGGCCATGTTCTAATCTACTGAAAAATGCTACCAGCTATCTCTAAAGTGCCAACACAACGGAACTTGGCCCAACTACTCGATTTTCTTACTTTGAAGCTTCTGTACCTAGCACTTGTATTTGAGCAACACAAAACAGTTAAGAAAGACTTTTCCACGTCAAAAAGAAAGATCTAGGAGCTTAGAACACGCTGTGCTAAAGTTATTGTTTATTAAAAACAAATTTCAGTTGTACAGAATGAATGAATGAATGAATGAATGACAGACACACACAACAACTACCTATACCTCGCGTAGGCGAGGCCAACAATACACTGATGCAGAGAAAAAACTTATACAATATGGTATCCATACAAATAAGAGTAAGTACACTGAGTCACACAACACAGTTTTTGGGTACTTTGCAATAACTCGCCACAACCTAGTAAAAGAAAATACAATAACTACCTCAGTAAAATTAATTTCACTAACCATATCTTCTTTTTTGTAAAAGTAACTTGTTCCCCGCACTTCTTGCTCAGGCTCCACCAAAAACTTGCAATGATCGTCTTCATCATTCCGAGGCTTATACCAGATGATTCTACCAGCAGCAATGATGGTTGCTGCTCGACCTGCTCCACTAGTTGTCTCTTGCAGTGGTCTACGAGGAAGAGCTGCCCGCGCTATGAAGTTAGCTCTCGCTTCTCTGAGCCACATTATAAATAACAGCAAAAGTATCATGTCTCAAGGCTTGCTTTCTGCAGATCTGAAGAAGAACTAGCAACACGCGGTGACAGTTGGATCTGTGAATATCATCATAGATATTATAGACTACGTATCAATGCAAGTCGTATATCTATGACATCATCACAGTCCCTTTAATTAAGGAAATTCTTTCCGGCTTGTGGTCACGTGGTTAACTACACAAGAAATTCACTCGTGAATATCATTACGCGGTGCGCCAGTTGGGTCTGAGAATCATATTACATGAGCATAATATGTGGGAGGTTCACTCTATGAATAATCATTATAAATGTTGAATAATAGAATACATAAAAGTCTTGCATAGTTTCATCCCTGCCCATGTCAAACATGTGAGGAGTCTAATCAGTCTATACTAGAAGCTAAGCTATACATAATAGTCGACTGTCTATGGCTAAGCTAAATACTATAATGGGTACATAGTGTGACAAAATAACAAGTATATTTGTGTTAAGAAATCTCTACTGTCTATCATGGCATACATTACATCAGAAGCCCATACTCTCCAGTCCTTCCTCTAAAAATTGTTTATATATTCTCATAAATTTTGCTGTGAAGGCCTCAAGATGAAAGATTGCTTTACTACTCAGTTGTGACTGAGCTTGATACTGAGCTGCTAATTGAGTCACTTCAGCTTTCAATGTACCATCACAGTTAGCAACCAGCTCATTCAATATCCTCTGTAGAAGGAAAATATTAGAAAAATATTACAATTAGTTTTATACATGCACATGTACATGTGTAATCTCTCCCTTTCTTCCAGTAGAAGAAAGTTTTCTCTTTCAATCAAAATTCACTATGAGTCTCTCATTTTCTTATCTTTCTCTCCCTCCCTCTATCCCTCTCTCTCTCTCTTAATTACTTTTAAAATAATATCAGGTGGTATACAATGAGTTAACAGCTCATAATAACGTCCTCTTACTTCAAGTAACCTCAAAAATAAAGACAATACATTTTAATTAATTTTATTACAATTGATTTTGTGTTACAATATACCTCTTAGGGCTCTGCTCTGTGATGATCATTGCGGCTGTTTCACATAAGAAAACTTCCCACTCACAATCAGGGACAACCTGATCATCATTGAAGGGATACCTACATGCATCAGGAAGAAGAGAAAGAGAGATAGGAAGGGGAAAGAGAGAAGGAAAGAGAGAAAAGAAAGAGGTTCATCTTTATGTACGGTACATATCGTATAGCGCATTATTTTGGAGGAGTTTTATTTTGGCGACTTGGAAAGCAAGATCACCAATATTAAAACGGCTAATCATTAATGGGCATGTTCAGTAATGCACATGTACATAAAAAATCGCCAAATAAAAAAACCACTAATTACAATTTTACAGCAAATCACCAAAATAAAGAGCCACCACATTAAGCACTATTATAGTAAATGCATGTACTTCATATCACTATGATTCACACCCAATGGATCTGATTAGGTGCATATGTTTACTGCATGGCCGATTAATCATAAATCATGAGGAAATTCCTCATGTGTGATTAATTGGATATGATATACCTAATAACTACATATCTACAATAATAATAATGATAATAATAACAATAATAATTTTTTTATTACTTTAAACTAATATCAGGTGGTATTAGTTTAAAGTAATATCAGTTACTTAAACTGATATTTTTAATATCAGTTACTTTAAAAATAATATCAGGTGGTATACAATGAGTCAACAGCTCATAATAACGTCCTCTTACTTCAAGTAACCTCAAAAATAAATATGATACATTTTTATTCCAATTGTTTTTGTTACAATAATTATACCTCTTAGGGCTCTGCTCTGTGATGATCATTGCAGCTGTTTCACGTAAGAAAACCTCCTACTCACAATCAGGGACAACCTGATCATCATTGAAGGGATACCTGCATGTATCAAGAAGAAGAGAAAAAGAGATTAGAAGGGGAAAAATAGAACAAAAGAGGATGGAAAGAAAGAGGTACATCTTAATGTACAGTACACAAAAATCCCCAAACTAAAAATAGCTAATTACAATTTTATAGCAAAATCACAAAAAGGAAGTGCCACCAAAATAAAACGCTATACGCTTAATATCATTATGATTCACAATTTCACACCAAACAGATCTGATTAGGTGCATGTGTTTACTGATGGCCAATTAATCATTAATAATTATTGTGCAAATTCCTCATAAATGAATCATGATTATTAATACAGCAAACACATGCATCTAATCAGATCTGTTTGGTGTGAAATTGTGAATCATAATGATATTAAGCGTATAGCGTTTTATTTTAGTGAGCCAATCATGATTCCCTTACT